CACCGATCGGGGCCGATCATGAGGAAAATCGTCCGATTCCGATCCCTGGCCGATCGATCGGTGCATCTCTATTTTTGGGTGAACTATCCCTTTAAGTAATTTACAAAAAGGCATAATGATGATATCAATCCTTGCAGTTGCAATTCTATAAACTTTTTTTTTTTTTAACTACGATGCTACACCACCACTAACAGTACAAAAATAAATAAATAAATAAAATAAAAGTATAATTGATGTGACTTCCTTCCTGGAACATGGACAAGAACGTGAATAACTCAGTTTTCAAAAATAAAGAGTCTCCTCCTATAATATTCAGGATTCAACACTAAATTATGTCATTTATATTGAGCTGAGGACTGAGCGTGCTTTAGTGCTACACAATCCACTTGCACAGTGGATTAAAATATATCTCAAATCATGCTGTCTTTGAATGTTTTGTGACTCGGGACATCAGAAAATCTTTAGTTTTCACAAGGTATAAAATTAAATATAATATTATATGAAAGATATAGCCCGTAACTTTGTCAGTTTCAATTAAGTCATTGAATTTAACCGGACATCTCAAACGGTCACAAAGTCAGATTAACTTGACCCTGCAAAGCCTGAGATATGAAATAATAGTCAGAACAATGTAAATAAGAAAAATGTAACTAAATGAGATCTTTAAAATGCATATTAGTTAACTTGTCACTCTAAATCTCCCAATATAATATGTCTTAGTAAGAGGATATTTAAATGCTTCGTTTTTTTTTTAATCAAAACTGTAGTTTTCATTGTGAAAATAAAATGATGACTGAGAGATGGACAAATCAACGTTTCTCATAAGGTCTTTTATTTGCTATAAAAAGTATAAACCATCAATCAGACAGTTGAGGGGATGTAGTAGATTGTGTTCAACATGTTTTTTTAGCAAAGTTTGACGATGTTGATTTCGAAGACTTAGAAATTTGTGTATCAATTATGATACAGTAGACTTTATAGGGTTAAACTTTAACTGAGCTACATAAAAGATGAATGTAAATGTAATGTCAGTATCTTTCTTTAATGGAGGTCTGCTGGACACCAACTCAACAAATGTGAGTAATTAGTTGAAAAACTGCCAAATCCAGCTTTACCGTGGGAAACTCCATTCAAAGTCACTCCACAGGATATCCTGTTCTCTCCCTCTACGCATCTTTAGAGTGAAGCCATAAAGCATAGTTATGATTTTATCTCATGTGTACCCAGAATCTACCATCAGCCTTAGGGTTAAACTTTAACTGAGCTACATAAAAGATTAATGTAAATGTAATGTCAGTATCTTTCTTTAATGGAGGTCTGCTGGACACCAACTCAACAAATGTGAGTAATTAGTTGAAAAACTGCCAAATCCAGCTTTACCGTGGGAAACTCCATTCAAAGTCACTCCACAGGATATCCTGTTCTCTCCCTCTACACATCTTTAGAGTGAAGCCATAAAGCATAGTTATGATTTTATCTCATGTGTACCCCCTTGTCAGAATCTACCATCAGCCTTGTCAATGTATAGTGCACTTTTTTTGATCATTTGGATAAATTTTTTTCTTGACAATTTTGAGTAAATATTGTGTAAAAACAGTGTATACATTTGCTATATATATATATATATATATATATATATATATATACACACAATACAATGTTTATTACATTGCTTTTACAGCTAAACAATTCTAAGGGCATGAAATATTGAATTATCTTATTATGGGAAAAGGAAGAGAGCTGGAGTGATACTACAGAGATGAATGTAACACGGCTACATAGGTTGCCTGGGACAACAGACAATTATACATTTTAGCTACATTACGAAAAACATTTTATGAAAATTTTGCAATCGACCCATCAGAATCAAGTATGTAGACAGACAGACAGATAGATGATAGGTGGATTTATATCTGTTATATTGTGGAGTAACTCAAGTGTTAATTTTTCTTCACATTGTGCTGTGAATGTTTTCAGCATTCAGAGAGCATTGTACTTTTTGCTCTCTGCTACATCTCTTTGGGACAAAAAATAAAGTAATGGCTGGTAAACAGCTGTTTTGTGTCACATTTGATTAGGAGGGGATCTACATAATAAATTGTGAAAAAAAGCTTTTCTTCAACAAAACGAATGCAGACCCTGCTGGGGCCAATAATGTGTTAAAAGTCAGAAAAGTTCAAAGGATATCTTTTTTTTTGCGCATTAAAGTGGAGTGGAAAATGTGAGGATCCATTGTAAGATTATTTGCAGCAACAACATTCTATTAACATTATTACCACGTTTACATAACAGAACAATTTTCCATCTAATTAAGTGCTAGTAGATCTCATCTCTGTGGAAGGCAATTCCCAACAGACTTTATTAATACAGCAACATCTCACTAATGCAAAACATTTAATCAACTGGCTTTTATCAGCTAATGCCAGATGCTTTTATATATTTGTATGTTCTACCCATAATTGGTTGTGTAGAAAAAGGAAATTAATATTGTCCTATTTTGTTTGAATAGCTACAATGTGTCCAACTATACAGCCGGAAATGCATATTTAATGTATAAATAAATACATTAGAGCCAGATGAATTGTTTTATAATGGACTTTTGGATTTTACGCTCACTAGTTATAAAAACATTGCACATGCAGATACACATGTGCTCTGCCTAAAGAGTTACCATGGTATTTGACTGAACATGAAGTCTTTCTTACCCTCTTGACCGCCTGTATTGATCCAGTCTGGATTTACAATACTTGCAATTGCGAAGATATCTGCTGCGAGAAAGAGACATCCTGAAATAATGGTGAGTTTATCCATTTTCATACTTCAGTCTGTGAACTACATGAGTTTAGGTCTGTTAGATGTTTGGGATTGTATGAGATGGATGCAACTTTCACTCCCTCTGCACCTCATGGAGATGCTCTTCATGCAGTTCTAGAAGACAACATCTGAATGTCAGAGAGATTTATGATGCTAACACCAACAGTATGACATTAAGCATTGAACATCATGCCATTATGAAACACAACCCCTCACGTACTCCACTAACAGCACCCTGAAAGGTGAGTCCATACTTGAGCACAGCTGTGTGGAAAATCCCGAGTGTTCCGATGTGTTCCAGCCGTGCTGGATCTTCCCTCTTGATATATGGATAGCATCGAAAAGGGAACACTATTCCACAGCGCACGAGTCTGTTCTCGCATCAGTATCGGATATGCTGGCAAATGTCGTGCTGTAACGATAACTACAGTTGTCCTTCTTGTCTTTTGTTCTTCCGTGTTTCAGTTTAAAGTAACATATAGTAAAACAGCGTCCGCGAACCTTTCAAAACACAACCCTGCTCGCGTGATATTTTCCCCTTTGTAAGGAATAACAGGGCAGGAGAACGTGACGCAACGCATGACGTCACCAACCTGCTGTTGACCGCAAGTGCGCTCTCAATAAAAGTTTTTTTTTTTTTTTTTTCAAATGTTTTTAAGCATAGATGCTTAATTTGGACAGACACAAAATCTAATAAAGAGAAAATAACTATACTGGAAATATTTTGTGCAACTAGGCAGAAGTAACATTTAATTGACCAATGAGATTAGGAGATATTTATTTTCATTTTATTGAAAGTATTTAAACACTGTAGTGAACGCAGTAAGGCTATTAAAGAATGCATTTATATATATATATATGCACGCACACACACAAGGGCGTTTGTATGTTTTTACCTGACATTTGCTCAATTTAAATCAGCTAAAATTTGATAAGTGCTGTTCATTGTATATTATGAATAAACATTTCTTTCCGTTATTTTATAATTACTGTAATAAATATTACACAAACCTAAACCATCTTTCTGAAAGTGTTCCTCAGCCTTTTGACCATTGTATCACTCTTTTCATAATTTTTTCCCAGCCATTCATGCTTATTGTATAAGTATTTTTAAAACAATTTTACAATCTTGTACAGTATTTTATACGTACATACATGTTGTACTAGCAAAAGCAACTTCTTAAATATTTGACCATTTATTGTAAAAACAAAGCAGCAAAACACCACTAGTCATTTAATTTCAATGTAGCCTGATCCTTGATGTTATAAAGATCTCAAAGTTTAAGTTGTAAGAGGATCACAAATCACAACTTGTTTCATAAATGTTTGTTGGTGTTGGTAAGATACTTTATTAATTTACATCTATACATTTCAAATGGACAAGTGTTGAGTTCTTCTCTTGAGGTTAATCCACTTTATATAATATTACAAATATCAAGACAAACATTTGATGACAACCTTATTATTATGCTTATTTTATTTATTTATTTTGGACAGGAACAATAAAGATTTCATGAAAATGTCCTCATTTCATTATAATGAAATGAAGAGTTAGACACTGTTGAAAGATAAAGATGATGTGTGCCCATCAGATTTCATCAACAAAAGGTGTGTTGACCAAGTGTCCAGTAGAGGCCATAGTCTTTTTGCCAGACATGAATTTTTTTGCAACCTGAAAAACAAATGAGAAATTTTGTTATACAAAATTGCACTCCAAAAGATAAAGCCTTATAGTAAAATAGCCTTATTGTACAGTCAGCTATAAATAACACTAATGTTAATATAGGAATTATGTACAGTACACTATGATTCTCTGAATATTCTTTAGTTCACAGGTTGCCTTTACCCAGGATTGAATCTACGATATTCTTGTGTTGCCATCCCAGAGCATTTACACTGGGTTACCGCAACCCTAAGAAACAATAGTTGCTTACATTGACAACATCAGCTGAAGACACAGCATTGATTTTCTGGGTAACAGCTTCAGGGGAATGGTAGGTACCCTCTGCAAGCACTTGTGAACCAATAGCTTCCATTAAGCCCTCAGAATTCTCAATGGACATCAGGTACTCAGCCGTCAACTGATTCCTGCTCAGACAAAAACATCATTAAAACATGTATTATAAAACGGATAGTTCCGGTCCTTGATTCTGATTGGTTGAGTCGCGTTCGAAGCTGTTGTAAATTACACTACAAACATATGCTGCGTCCCAATTCGCCTACTTATACTATGCCATAAAAGTATGTACTCTTTTTGTGAAGAAAAAGTACATACTTTTGAGTATGTAGAAGAATAGTAGGCAAGCTTTGGGACATACTACTTCATCATAGCTGCTTCTTTAACGGACGCTCTGTTGCTTAGTTACGTGAATTCTGTCACTGTTTAAACTGCCCTGTCAATCATCTTATCACAATTAACATCATCCACATTTCGTTTAATTTGATTTCCTACCGTATTGGAGAGAAATGAAGAGGCACGTTGATCTGCTAGTCGCGGGTCTATCATGCCGAGAACTCTGCTCATGTGTTTGCATAATGATGCATTTAAAAGTTAATGACCAAACGTGTCATTATAAAAGTTCACAGTGTTGCTGCAGATGAAATATAACGTGGATAACATT